TTTTTAACTCAGACCTCAAAGCAAGAAAACAATGAAAAAATTTACCTGCAGTTACCACTTCCCACCTCCCCATACTGTGTTTGAGGGGCCACAAACAATGGGTCACGAAAGATTTTACATGTGGTTTTATGGATTTGTAATAAAACTAACGACCCTTTCTATACATAACATCAGGAAGCGCATGTGGACGATGCTTAGCTCTCATGATGGTTTCATCACTGTGCTTAATCAACTCAGAAAGTCTCCAAGGCTTTTGCCACTTCCATTTGAACTGTAATAGCCACTGATGATGACTCCTTTTCCATCTCCACAGTTTCCCACCATGCCCAGCTACCGTTAATTTCTTCATCGACAGTTGCCCAATAGGTACCATCTGTACTTGCCACAATAATCACACTTCAAGAAAATAAGGATTTAAAAAAAAATAAAAATAAAAAATGAACGAGATAATTACTAAATATGACCTTCGGATGTCCTAACTCGTAATAATTTTAGCTACAATTTTACAGTTGCAACCTCTGACGTACATTGTAAAATTATTCCCTTAACAGTAGAACAAAATGTAAGGTCAATTTGTAGTACTCTTCTACGTTGTACATTCTGTAACTAAGAAATCAGTCTTTTTCTTTTTTTCTTTTTTTTTTCTTTGGCAATTAACCTAAAGTTTCAAGAGTAGATCATTTAACCGTCCTAAAACAGAGGAGCAACTGGCGAGGGAACACGATAAAATGTAAGAAGTAAGAAGTCAACCTTTCGTGTTTGATCCATGAATGCAGCTGAATCTCTCACAGACACATTGGCAATTCCTGCCGTATATTTAAGTTGTTTCTGAGCTGGCACCGGAATTGGAGACAAAGGATCGTTTGTGTCATCGGCATTGTGCTTGTGAGGGTTGACCTTGACCAGTAAAATTATTTGTGACACAAGCACGGAATATATAGGAGAAGTGTCAGTGGAAAGAATATTATTGCACAGATGTAAAAAGGGAAAAATGAAAAAGGTAATCTTACGGGAGGTGGTGTTGCTGGTGCAATAGGAGGAGCAGCTTTATCTCTATATTTTAATTCCTTTTCTGCTTCTTTTCGCCTGAGTTCACTTTGACGCAATAAGCCAACAACTTCTTTCATCTGTTCTTTCATCTCCTTGATTTCCATTTCTTTTTCCCACAATTCGCATCTGTTGATGGTGTGGAAATTCATAAAGATGATTTTTTTTTTAGTTTATTTAATTTAAAAATACTTCATACTTATTATTCTTATGCTGTCAGCTTTATCTTTAAAAGACAAATACACATTTTGGGAAGAGAAAAATCACGAAAAAAA